GTTCTGTGTGGGAGGTTTGGCCCAATTCTATCGTTGGTGGAGTTCTGAATGCTCTTTGATTGTAGGTGAACTGTAGGATCACGATTCTAGTTACGAGACGTTGTTGTGTTGTTATTGATGTGTCACTACTGTATTTTGTGCTTTCATGGTTTTTAAATCGTTTATTGCTATTTTGTTATGACTGTTTTTGCTATGTTGTGAACCGCGTTGAGTCACCTACGGGCTGAGAAACTGCGGTATACAAGTAAATAAATAAATAAATAAATAAATTCTATCATTGGTGGGGTTCAGAATGCTCTTTGATTATAAATCTTTAAATCTCTTTTCCTGCCCACCAACATTCAGTAAACACAGGACATAGAAATAAGCAAATATCTGTGCTCTTACCTTGTGTACTTCTGGAACCCAATTTCTTTAGGGATGGAAAGAGGGAAGATCACCAGGATGCAAAGGACGGACAAGGTGAAACGATGGTCGATGAACCAATGTTGGTGGGGAAAACCTCCATTCACAGTTTCATTTGGGTAAAAAGTATCGCATACTAGAAAGACAAGGACCAGAAAGAAGATATCAATTTGTGCAATCAGCCTAAACTGATTTTGCGACTATTATATGAGGAACACAAACATACCAATTTTGCCACCTCCAAGATTGGGGAGTGACTATTACGCAGTGGCAACTATTATATGAGGAACACAAAAATACCAATTTTAGCACCTCCAAGATTGGGGGAGTGACTATTACACAGTGGCAACTATTATATGAGGAACACAAAAATACCAATTTTGCCATCTCCAAGATTGGGGGAGTGACTGTTATGCGGTGGCAACTATTATATGAGGAACACAAAAATACCAATTTTGCCACCTCTAAGATTGGGGGGAGTGACTATTAGGCAGTGGCAACTATTATATGAAGGACACAAAAATACCAGTTTTACCACCTCCAAGACTGGGGGAGCGACTATTATGCAGTGGCAACTATTATATGAGGAACACAAAAATACCAATTTTGCCACCTCCAAGATTGGGGGA